ACAAAGCTTTACTGATGCTGTAGCTCCTTCCTCCTCCTGTGGTTTGGGAGACTTTATACTTGTGTCCCCACAAAGTGCATTATGGTGTTGACCCTTATGGCACTTATTGCAGATGCGCATTGCTGTTGTGCAATTGTCGGGATGATGTTCCCTTATACACTAGGTACATCTATGTAACTCCTTGAGTCGTTTTATGCGTGTTGCACGATCAGGGTAGCGTCTGCAATTGTACATGGAATGTGATTGCTCACAAAACACACATGGTCTCCAGACATTAACAGTATCTTGAGGAGTCACCGTCTTGGGTGACACGTTAACTGTAGGTTTAGAGGGACCAACTGCGTATGTTCCTACACTGCCCTGATTCCACTTTGTGGAGGGGGAAGATGTTTTAGCTTTGTTTGGAGTACTGTTTGTACTCTGTTGTTTACTATTAGTAGCAGACGTAGGTTTAGATGTCGTTTTTCCTTCTGGATTAACTCTTTCTCGTTCTATGATGGTTTGTAAACCCTTTGTAATCTCATTTACAGTCAAGGATGACTTACCTACTAATACAAACAACTTATCCAGTATGTCCCTGGGTAATTTTCGTGTCATATGGACTTGTATTATCCAGTCTGACTCTTCCAAGTTCACTTTATTTTTAAGTGCCTTGAGCATGGACTCAAGCTCCAATCTGAAGGCTTGGAGTGAGACTGCAGTATTATTTGGAGGTTTAATGTCTAACAGTTTCTGTATTAGAATTCTGATGGTCCTTTCAGGTTTAGCGTAATTATCTTTCAGGAGTTGTACTGCATTGTCATAATCATCATCTGTGTGATTTAGATTACAGACTACCTGATACGCTTCATCCTTCAAGACACTCTGTAAGTATGTAAACTTTGTCGTTTTTGGTACATTAGCATTGGAATCCACAGAATCGACAAATTTGCTCCAGAAACCGTCCCAACTCTCGTCTTCTGTTCCAGAAAAAGTTGGTAAACTAAGTGATGGCAATTTGACTTCTGGTGCTGTCTGGTTCTGGGAAGTTGTGGTTGCAATATTTATATTGGCTTTATGGGCATGTATGATATCATCAAAGTATTGCAACTGTGTAAACATTGCATCTTCATAATCGGAATGTTCTTGTATAACGTCTTGTAATGTTTCTCCACCAACACTGGTATTCTGAAGTAAAACTTGATATTCTTTCATTTGTTGCAACACACGGTCATACTTGTTCCGTGTAAGCCTAAGATAGTTTTCTAGTGCGACATAGTTAACTGGAGTTTGTTTACTCATGTTTTCACATGTGCTAATCTGCCGTGCTAAATGTCCCCTTAATCCTGTGAGGGTTATTTGGACATTTTTGACAATAGACATCTTGGAAGTTCTTTTTAGTCGTATAGACTAGTGTCAGGACTATTTATGGCACTTGTATTAGTAAAGCCACTAGTTTCCGAACTAGAGCTACTCATCATTTATTTAAATATACACTGTATAATCATACACACTATAATTTGAGTGGTAGACCTGTATCAATGCTGGTATCCGCAAGTTAGCCCTTCATTATCACTCTTGGTTGGTACAGAGACACAGGTTAACACTCAAAGGTGTAATGATTATAGTTAAATTATACTTATAGTTATATTGATATCATATTGACAACACAACTCGGGTTGTCTTAAATACTGCATAAAAATATGTACTTGCTAGGTTGTAATATGTGTTCAACTCTAGACAAGTGTAAAATTCTTACCCTTACACCAGGTTAGCACAATAAATTAGACTAGGTTGCTGTACAACACCAGCCTAAAATGTTCTACCCTTGTGCAAGAATTAGTAGTAAATAATGTGGCATGCAGTAAATGTTACAGTAATGGCAATAATAATGCAATAATTACAAAAAAAACATTTATAAGTAACTTATAAGTAAAGTAGCCTCTTATCAACCTCTTGTAATGAAATGAAAAAAGCACAATTGTTCCTTTGGTACTGCCAGAACAATAATAGTGCTTGTTGTAAGTTCTGTTTGCTATGAGATTGAAAAGTTAGGCTAGAAAAAATGCAAAATTATAGCAGTGTCTTCCTGCTATAATGTGTGTAGGTAATATTGCACTATATGTATGTATAATATCTAGTTCAAAGGACCAAATAATCCGGTTCGAAGGACCAAACAATGTGGGGAAATTCCAGGCAGCTAATCTCTCTTTTTTTCAAATTGACTTTAATAAAATAAAGTTATGTCTTATTTATTTTTCTTAGTAAGTAAGAATTAATTGAGTGGACTATATATACTTGTAAACTGCCTGAAATCTTCTTACACACTATTGGGAGGGACAATTGGTAGCCTAAACCACTTTGTTATGGCTCCTTCTTAAACTACCAATTGTTTACCTTTTAATCTGTTATACAGTATACCACATATGGTGGTCTATTCTACTAATAATAATTAATTATGACTACTACTACTAAGAGTATTAATGGCTTAGATGTGCCAGTAGAGTGGGCCTGGTAAGGCGTGTAGGTGTAGCCTCAGATTGGGTGTGGCCCTGTGCCTCCTGGTGCCACGTAATGGCGGCTTGTGAGAAGGACAAAGCTTGACAAACAATAGTTAATGTGTATGAGCCAACTGTCTGCTCAACTTCTTGATGCTCCTCTCACAATTTACCTGTATGGGATGCAAGGAATTAATCAAAGTTCCCTAAACATATCAATTACAGGTATGACATGAACTGTGAGGGTTGTAAATGGAGTACACGTACATTGTGTTTGGGGTTCTCCCACGACCTAACCATCTACCCAACAATATTAAACAGTGCACTAGAATAATATACAATACTTGGTAGACGGATACAGTCGTTGTTGTGATGTTGATAGGCTGTGTTGCTGGTTGTTTCACCAGCTCTAGAGCCAAATACAGCGTAGTGGCTGTTGTGGTTTGTTATGCGGGAGCCTTGCTCTCCCTTTGTTATTGTTCTTATGATGCGGGAGCCTTCCTCCCACCCCTGGCCAACGCCCTTATGCTGGTTCCTCTCTCAAAGTAATTTTACATTAACAAGGGAACCTAGCTACAATACGGTGTTAATAATTATATTCAGTCTTATTGAATACTTTTTTGTTAACTCTAGATACTAAACTAGTCTATTAACAATGTTTCATAATGTAAATATACGATGACTTCCATGACGTCACGGAGTCGATGACGTCACGGAGTCTCCCATTTTCCATCCTGAAGGGAATACAGACTAAGGGAGACTGTGTTATTTGTGTGTGTCGGTTTCCCGACAATGGCTCTTGAAGGAAGAAAGAACCAGACTAATCCGCATCTGTTACGTAATATTGCCCAGATGCATATTGAAACAAACTTGTCATCTGAAAGATTCATATACTTTCACAGATGGATCAGTAGACCGGCAGAGACAAGTAACCAGAGCTGCAGTTAAGGCAGGAATCTCTGCAAATAGTTGGAGACTCTGAAACGGGTGTTCAACTTTACAGAGATGCTAGGCATTCAAAAGACTTTGGAACATGCTCTTGCTGAACACCAACAACATGTTATCATATATAGAGATTCCAGAACTGCCACTGAAACCTTGCAACAAGAACACGACAACATCTATCTGATTACAAATGTCATAACATTAATGCAAACACTCAAACATCAAGACCGTTGGGTACTTACCAACTGGGTTCCAAGTCATGTGAGAATAATAGGAAATGACATTGCAGATGAAGCTGCAAAACTTGCAACGAAGAGAAGAAATGTAGACATTTACATACAGCAGAGTCTATCACAGATTAAAAAAGTAACTAGAAACAGAGCAATGTAAAAGAGGTACAGTGACCACAACACAGCAGTTGCAACATCAGGATCTGCAGGTTGGTACAAGAATTCAACCAACTACGAACCACTTATTTTGATGAAAGGGAGCAGTAGAACAACAGAAATACACTTACATCGCATCAGGCTTGGATACCCATGTGCATGGGAAATAGGCTTAGAGGTTCTGGAAGATGAGAAGAAATGTCAGCACTGTGGAGAAATGCCCAAAAGATCACTGATGCATTATCTAACACAGTGCAGTTACCAACCCATAAGATTTCAACTTAGATTCAACTGAGCAGAAGAGGTTGTTAAACACATGGGGCAAAATCTTACTGAAGCGACCATATGAGTCATAAGTAGTCATACTCTACCTAAGTAAAACAGAAACAAGCAACACTTAGTGGGCCAGCCAGAGCCTTAGGGCCCGCACAGGAATATCCCTGCATAAAACAAACAAAAATACTCTCACCATCATCTCCCATCAACTCTCACCATCTCCTCACATCACCTCTCACCATCTCCTCCTATCACCTGTCACCATCTCTTGCGTCACCTCTCACCATGTCTTGCCATCACCTCTCACCATCTCTTGCATCACCTCTCACCATCTCTTGCATCACCTCTCACCATCTCTTGCATCACCTCTCACCATCTCTTGCGTCACCTCTCACCATGTCTTGCCATCACCTCTCACCATGTCTTGCCATCACCTCTCACCATCTCTTGCATCACCTCTCACCATCTCTTGCCATCACCTCTCACCATGTCTTGCCATCACCTCTCACCATCTTTTCCCATCCCTCTCATTCTTTTTCATTACTCTCTTTTTATATAACCTCTCCCTCATCTCATCCTATTACTTTATCTTCCCATCAGATACCACCTCCCACCCTAAGCATTTCCCACATACTCCCCATTACTACGCATCTTTTATTATCACCTTCTACCTCTAGTGATCACAAAGAAATCAGATTTGGTATAGAATGAAATAGATTTGTAGGAAAGAATTCTGATAAAGTATCAGATTTCTGAAAGCTGATTTTAATGGACTAAGAATTTTTTGGTGTAATAGACTGGAAAGTGCTGGTCATGGTGGGTTGGGGGGGAGCGAGACGTGAACCCAGCGATGTGTGATGTAAAAAGGGATTTTGATGTGGATTCAGAATATAACCTATTTAAAAATATTCTAAGCAAAGCACAGGAACGTAGTATACCATACAAATTGAAGAGATCGAATAATAATGACCCGAAATGGATAACAATGGATCTGATGAACCTTATAAGTAACACTATAGCCTGGTACAAAAGGATTAAGAATGGGAAATCAGTTTAGAACAAGAACTCGTCCAACTGGATTGAAATGTTTAAAAAAGAGATAATGCGGGCCAAAAAGAAACTATGAAGTTTGCATAGCAAGGCAAGCAAAGACAGAGCCTAAATCGTTTTTACAGTTATATCGAACAAAAAATAGAGGAAAGATAGGTCCATTATATTCGAATGACCTCCAACTCCCCCTATCACCCTGCCTATGGTGAAACAGCTGGAACAACGTGGTGGTAGTGGTTGTGCGGAGGTCAGCAGTGAACAACAGCAACACAGGTAGAATAAACACCACAAAAGGGGCTTTATGCAAACCCCTTTCAATAATCTGTAATGTAACAATGTTGAGGGGAGAACTACCAGACAATCGGAAAGATGCTAATGTTATATGGAGGAGAATATTCAGAATGTACTAAAATACAGGACAGATTCGTTGATATGAATGCTTGGCAAAGGTCCTAGAAAAAATATATCATAAAGTGACAAGTGGAACACCTAGAACATACAAGTTTTGTGTCGGAGGTTCAACATTTTGTTCTCAGAAGAGAAGCCGTGTACAACAAAACTGCTAGAGTTTTGTAGTAATATGCCATTGATTACACATGAAAGAAGAGGATTGGATGACTTCATTTTCTTGGTATGTCAAAAGCCTTTGACACGGTTCCACACAGGAAGATTCTGTTCACAGTTAAGACACAAACTTGGGTAATTGACCATGTTTTGAGTTTAGTGAAAGATTTCCAATCCGTCAGGAAACAAAGATCAAATTTGAGAAAGAAGGAGTCGGGATTAAGAAATTAATAATAAGATCTGTTTTTACATATGTAGTGACGTTATAACCCTGGTAAGATCCTCTATGTGAATGTCTCGCAATGATACAAACTGGAGAGATAAATTAAAACAAATATTATCTGAAGATTACAGGTTGATCAAAACAACTGTGGCTGTAGGGCGCCATACATGGCTGCAAGTCAAGGATGATGCCAAGGATGATACACACTGTTAACTTTAGACAGGTCTACGTTATTATGTTACCTCACTGTTAAATTCCTCCCTGAAAAGTTACAAAGGAAATATAGAGAAAGTCCAAGGGTCTCTGGGCATTGACTACTGAGCTATGGAGAAAACCTGATGGGAATATATCTCAGGTCGTTAGAAGAACAGAGGTTAAGATGCGACATGATCACAACATATAAGTTTCTTCGCGATTTTGACAAAGTACAATAAAACAATGTTTTGAATAAACGGGTGAAGAACAGAGGACGGGAATTGAAATAAGAAACTGGAACGAGCCAGAAAGATTTAAGAAAACACTTTTCTTACATCCAATGACAATTCTCATGGCAGTGATGAAGTGTTTAATCATCTTAGAAAGATCTGTACTAGCACGAATTGTTCCATATATATTTGAATTAGATATGCAGAATTATTCTAGTATAGTGGAATACTACCGTGCCAATATGAAGACATTAAAGGCGTCAGATACTTTAACATGGAAGAAGTTTGACAAAGGAAACTGGGTAGTAAGACAAAGTTCTACTCCTTTTGTGTTCTTGGAGCAGTTGAGGCATTACAACAACAAAATACAGCCTTGAAGGTTACGGGTGGATTAGTTGGTATTACACACCACCTTACAGCAGCCTGTAGCAGCCTGTAGCAGCCTGCAGCAGCCTGCAGCACCCTGCACCACCCTGCACCACCCTGCAGCACCCTGCAGCACCCTGCAGCACCCTGCAGCAGCCTGCACCACTTGTCCGATACTTTATAGCAGCACCTGTGTTATATGCAATAAGTTAACGGGTGTTTTTTGGCAGCAGTTTCAGCCGAGCGAGGAACATCTCAAGCCTCGCTATAAATCCATAACAGTACTGAATATAGAGAATAATGCAGTAAGAAAACAGTTCAGGACCCACATGAACTCGAAAACCTTTTTCCAGGATGGCAAAGAGCTCCTGAACATCGCAACAAAAGCTGTATTTGGCAAAAACATTAAAAGAAATGCTGGTCAGGTGTATGAACTTGGAAGTCAATTGTACAATCATCACAAACTTGCGGGACCAAGATAAAAACAACAAACTTAATTTGTGTTTAATTGCAAAGAAGAAACTGAAAATAACAGTGAATAGGACTATCAAGGAGCTACGGGCTGACAGATCCCTCTTTGCTCGCCTATAATTATTGTGATGGAACAGTGGATCCAAGCCAACATGGTTCATGGTGATGGAACAGTGGATACAGGCCAACATGGTTCATGGTGATGGAACAGTGGATCCAAGCCAACATGGTTCATGGTGATGGAACAGTGGATACAAGCCAACATGGTTCATGGTGATGGAACAGTGGATACAAGCCAACATGGTTCATGGTGATGGAACAGGGGATACAGGCCAACATGGTTCATGGTGATGGAACAGTGGATACAGGCCAACCTGGTTCATGGTGATGGAACAGTGGATACAGGCCAACATGGTTCATGGTGATGGAACAGTGGATACAAGCCAACATGGTTCATGGTGATGGAACAGGGGATACAGGCCAACATGGTTCATGGTGATGGAACAGTGGATACAGGCCAACCTGGTTCATGGTGATGGAACAGTGGATACAGGCCAACATGGTTCATGGTGATGGAACAGTGGATACAGGCCAACCTGGTTCATGGTGATGGAACAGTGGATACAGGCCAACATGGTTCATGGTGATGGAACAGTGGATACAGGCCAACCTGGTTCATGGTGATGGAACAGTGGATACAGGCCAACATGGTTCATGGTGATGGAACAGTGGATACAGGCCAACCTGGTTCATGGTGATGGAACAGTGGATACAGGCCAACATGGTTCATGGTGATGGAACAGTGGATACAAGCCAACACAAAAGTAAACTCATTGAAATCTTGACATCAAACGCAACCGAGTCACTAGTAGCAGGAGCATAGAATGGAAGCATAAATGGAGAGCAACTATGCCACAAAAAAGCACCTACTACCAATCCACTAGACCATGCAAAGTTGCGTGAAGAGTTGGGCTTCCATATTTGGACAGACTAACAAACAAACTTTCTGACTCTGTCTCTGTCTGTCTGTCTGTCTGTCTCTCCCATCAATCTTCCATTCTCATTCACTCTTTCCCTGTCTCATATTCTCACAGCAACGCATGTGTGTTGCCGAACCACAGCAACCTTCCCTTGTCCCCCAGTCGTCCCCATCATTCCCCACTCCCCATCTCCTCGTCCTCCCCACCATTCTCCCCCTTCCCCGTCCCTTTGTCCTCCACACCATCCCCCCACTCCACGGTTCCCTCGTCCTTCTCCACCACCTCCCACTCCCCCGTCCCCTCGTCTTCCCTACCATTTCCCCCCCCCTCCCCTGTCCCCTCTTCCTTCCTACCATCCCAAACTTCCATGTCCCTTTATCCTCCCCACCATTCTCCATTACCCCGTCCCCCCACCACCCCAACTCCCCTGTCCACTCGTCCTCCCCACTATTCCCCCTCCCCTGTCCCCTTGTCGTCCCCACCATTCCCCCTCCCTTGTCCCCTCGTCCTCCCATGTCCCCCCTCGTCCTCCCATGTCCCCCCTCGTCCTCCCCTGTCCCCCTCGTCCTCCCAACCATCCTCCACTAATGTCCCTTCATCCTGCCTACCATTCCCAACTCCCTAGTCCGATGCATTCCCATATGATCTGATGTTCCCATCAGAAAATTGGGAATATCAAATGATTTGATGTTCCCATCACTGAAAAATAAGAAGTTAAAAAGCGAAACGAAAAACAATGAAAACATAGAAGATTAAACTTTACTCACGAAATGAATGGTATGGTAAACAACACAGCTCAATTCCAATGCAATGTCACACAAAATAATGAAATCAAGATGAAAATAAATCGAAATTCATGAAAATTCAGTTTATCAATGCAATCGGAAACATTGAAATGGAATTGTAACATATTTAGAATAGCATTTGTTGCTTTTACATGCAACATATGGCGTTGTTTTTCAAAACAAGTATAGTTTTACCTCTCACAGGTGTGCATCTATACTTATACTCACGAAATGAGCGATATGGTAAGCAAAACAGCACAATTCCAATGCAATATCACACAAAATAATTAAATCAAAATGAAAGAAAATCGAAATCTATGAAAATTAAATTTATCAATGCAATCGGAAACAATGAAATGTAATTGTAACATATTTAGTATAGTGTGTGTTGCTCTTATGTGCAATAGATGGTGCTGTTTAAGTATAAAAGCATGTTTTTACCTGTCACAGGTGTGGTATCTTTATAGTTGGTATGTATATAATAACACGCCCGAATTCAAATGGAACGTTGTGTCAAAATTTCAAAGCAATCGGTGAAGAACTTTCGGAGATTTTAGCGTGTGTTGCTCTTGCTTCTGACAGATGGCTCTGTTTAAAAAAAAACATGTTTTTTCCTGTCACAGGTGAGGCATGTATATAGTAGATATATAAAAATACGCGCCTATTCGAATGCAACGTTGTGTCAAAATTTCAAAGCAATCGGAAAAGAGGTTTCAAAGATTTCCCTCACATGAAAAACACAGTTAAAAAAAACATGTTTTTCCCATCACAGACGTGACATCTATATAGTATGTATATAAAAGCCCCGCTAGGAAACGAATGGAACGTTGTGTAAAATTTTTAAAGCAATCTATAAAGAAGTTTCAGAGATTAGCGATTTTGATCAAACGAACATTTCCGTGTTTATTTATATAGATTTATGGTCCTGTATGACTAACCATCCTGCGAGATGGGACTATTAGTATCACTGCTACCTTATTCACTCTTGTGTTGATGATGATATCCTCATAATACACCCAGTCTGCCAGTGCAGACTACTTATCACATGCCTCTGTATGGCTTACCATCCTGTGTGATGGGGATTTTTTAGCACCACGTAGCTAGTTTTTGACACACTGTACTCCCCTTCATATAGTCTAGGGTAGCTGCACAAATGCAGATAAAACCTAATGTGATAAAACAAATTTATATTGACATGCAAAATGAATGTTAAGATGACAGACTTGCATTCTGGACACAATCATCAGGTTACAGTGATGTAGGTAGTGTGTTGTGAAAATGGTTTCAGTGATGTGGGAAGATGTGTTGTGGGGTTGACAGGGCGCATGTTTGGGCATAGGGTGTGTAAGTGGGTGGAGCCTGGGAGAGTGCATTTGGGCAGAGAGATAGGGAGTGTGTATTTTGGTGTTTATGAGGAGGGATGTGAGTGTGGGAGGGAGATGGGGAGGGTGTGTATGGGGAAGGGGTAGAACAGGGAAGGAGTGTGGGAGAGACCTGGGCACAAGGTCGTCCCTGGTACTAGGAATCCCATAAAATTCAAATCAAAACCAAAATAAAATTACTACTTCCAACATATATATATTCTCCAATTAAGCTCTGTAGAACCTCTGCCAGATGAGTAAATCAGAGACCAACAGACTAAGGGAGGAAGTGAAACATCCAATAGTCACAATGGCATGGATGAAGATATGATATCCAGTCCACACGTCAGTAAACGAAGAAACCTCGTCGTGTCTCAGTGTTCTGGTATGTGGTTTGAACATCATCCAACAGGATGTAAAGATTCAATCAAGAATGCGAGTCAGGAAGATATACTGCAAGACACTTGGACCTGCAGCGATCAGTACAGAAACTTAAAAAAAAAACACGCTATGCAAGAAACTAAAATCCAAGAGAGCTTATAAAGGTATGGTAGCTAGAGATGAGTTAAATTCTACAAAACAAAAGTAATGTGAAGGACAGGACGACTGAAAACAATTTCTGATCAATAGTTAACCAGAAATTGATCATTATTTTAAACAACTATTTCGTATCAGTTATTGCTTACACAATAAAATTTAGCCATGTGTAGAAGCAATTTATTAATTTATAATTTGTTAATTTATAATTTTCCTTATTTTGTTGATAATGTTAGGAAGCTAATACTTTCAAATACGACTTACGTCGCTAACCGCGTTCAACATACAAACTTTTGTGATTAGTTATTGATGATAAATGCATACTGATGAGAGGAACATGCATTTAATTGACTTGCTTTATTTTGTACACAAATGTTTATTAGTGATGTTTAATTGGTAAGATATTTTAGTAATTGACTTCTTATCTTGAGATGATTTCGGGGCTTTAGTGTTCCCGCGGCCCGGTCCTCGACCAGGCCTCCAGCCCCAGGAAGCAGCCCGTGAGAGCTGACTAACTCCCAGGTACCTATTTACTGCTGAGTAACAGGTGCATCAGGGTGAAAGAAACTCTGCCATCGTGTCTCGCCGGCGCCCGGGATCGAACCCGGGACCACAGGAGCACGCGTCCAGTGTTCTGTCCGCTCAGCCACCGGCTCCCTATGCCTTACAGGGAGTGCCAAGACTGCCAAATGTATCAAATCCACTAAAGGTCTAATACAAAAGTTATAAGAAAATGTGGGAAAGCCTATAAGAGTACATATTGATCCTAAAATTGGTATTAATGCCAGGAAGAACAGTACTTTAAACTATGCTATGTTGAATGATCAGTGAGAACTCTGTCAACAAAGAATTAAATACACTACTAGGACTGGCCATTCAACAACTGGTATAATGAAGTACCAAACTCAAATATTATAAGACACTTACCAACTAGAACTATGGGTGCTTTAGGGCATTTCTGGTGGAGTTCTGGCAGCCATTTTGAAGTAACATTTTCAAAACTATTATGGTTATCCAAAGCAAAGCAGACAATGAATACATTTGTCTGAAGAAAGAGAAAACAATTACTAAATATTAATAATTTTAAATAAGTATATATAATACATATGATAACATATATTTCAACTTTTACTACAGAAGAAAAAGGAATAACAAATATATAATAATATATAATTGTAAAAATGTGAGTTACTTCACCATTCCTTTCCCCCGCCCCATCTCAAATCCTTATCTGCTTCTTACTGTTATATAGTCGTAATGACGCTTTCTCCTGATAGGTCCCTTCACTTCACATAAATGTAATAGATTTGGAAGATAGTTTTAACACAATACTTTCTTTTTGATAGTTTTAACACAATACATTTCTCAACGCTCGCCACAAGTGGACATCAACCAGGACCTAGATTAACCTCTGAAAGCTATATAGGGACCACTGCTTCTATTCTCAGTGCAGATAAGACTCAACTGTTGTCAAAAAAGAAGCAGATCTAGGACAGATGGGTTGAACACTTTGATCCGGTCTTTAGCCTGATCAATGGTGAGATCATTGCTCGCCTACATTTCCCAACGCTCGCCACAAGTGGACATCAACCAGGACCTAGATTAACCTCCCACAGAAGAAGTCAGCAAGGCCATCATGCAGCTTTCCTGTGGCAGAGCGCCAGGATCAGTTGCAATACTTGCTGAAGTGGTGCTATATAGTCGTGATGGTTTGGCGCTTCTCCCTTATAACCTCCCCCAACCATGCTGAAAAACCCATCTATGATGCAGAAACTGACAAAGCTCTTCCAGTTCTTTGAAATGAAGGGGAGATCCCAAAAGAGTTAAAAGATGCCAGCATAGTTCACATCTACAAGAGAAAGACAGCAGGCAGTCTTGCGATAATCACCTGGGCATTTCACTCATGTCCATCGCTAGGAACATCCTGGCTCGTATCCTGCTCAACCGTCTCCTTCAACACCTCGAGCAGGGTCTCCTCTCAGAAAGCCAATGAGGTTTCTGCGTAGAACGCGAATCTGTCGATATGATATTTGCTGCACGCCATCTCTAAGAAAAATGCCAAGAGCAACATAACGACCTCTTTGTGACCGTCGACCTATCCAGGGCCTTCGATGCGGTTAGCAGAGATGGCTTGTGGAAGATAATGGAATAGTTTGGCTATCCCGGAAAATTCACTGCGATTTTCTGGCAGTTCCATGATGGCATGAAGAAGAAAGTACTGGACGATGGAGACTAGGCAAAAGCCATCCCAGTGACTAACGGTTTGATGCAGGACTGCGTTCTCGCCCCCAACACTCTTCAGCGTGATATTCTCGGCCATGCTCACTGATGCCTTCCGTGAGTGCCAGGATGCAATACCCCCATCAGATATAGGACTGACGGTGGGCTGTTTAACCTCAGGTGCTTGCAGGCCGTTACAAAGATAAAGGAAATTGTCATAAGAGACTCCCTGTTCGCTGATGACTGCGCCCTCAACGCCAGCATAGACCTAATGAAATAGACTGCATCTCTCAAGCATGAGACTACTTCGGCCTCATCATCAGTACCAAAAAGACTGATGTCATGTACCAACCCATGCCCGGAATACCCTACCAGGAACCACACATAGAGTTCTGTCGAGGGGGCAGAACCTGCAGGCAGTCGACAACTTCACCTATCTTGCCACCATACTCTCAAGAGCGGTGAACATAGCGACAGAAGTCAACAACAGAATTGCCAAGGCCAGCACTGCCTTTGAAAGATTCCGTGTGAAGGTCTGGGAGCGGATGGGCCTCAGCCTTACCACCAAACTGTAGTTCTACCGTGCAGTGGTACTCACCACCCTTCTCTATGCCAGCGAGACCTAGACTGTCTACAGCAGACACACCAATCGGGACTGCAGAGGTTCAAAGGAAATGCGCTGCGTTTAAAGCTAGAGCAACCTCCACTTTTGCTCAAGAACCCATCCACAGATATCCCGTATGTGAGCGAGCCTTCCGGACCCAGATTGGTCTCATCCTCCCTCATCTGTCACACAGCTGCCGACCTTCGACCTTATATATAGAAGTCGTGGTCATCTTCACATCCGAGGGACAAACATCATCATGTCATAAAAATGACTGACCCATCAAAATGTCATAACGGTGATGTACCCACCACTAACACCATAAATGTGATAGACCCACCACTAATGTACACTGTAGCAATAAATAATGCCTGACTCCCCATCATAAGTGTGATAATAATGTTTAGAGGAAGCAGCCCATAAGTACTTACCCCAGGATACGAGAGGGGACGGAGGAGCTCATAGTCTTCCTGGCCTGCACTATCCCAAAGCGTTATGGGATAGGTTCGCTGCATAAGCGTGTGTTTCCCCGTGTAGTTGTCAAAAACTGTTGGTATGTACTCCTGTAAATATATTACAGAATAAATAGCACATCAACTATAAAATAAATACATCAACAAGGATCTTAACAGTTGACCATACAGGAAAAATGACAGATTTCACAAAGAAATCAATATATTTAAAATAAGAGAGGCATCAGTCATAACTCCATCATCCGTGTTAAAGAGAAACAAAGAGCGCAATATTAGCTTAAAACATTATTATATAGTTCAGAACTACATACTCTTTTAAATAATTAATTTGGCTAAAATTAAAACCTTAAAATAAACTATATACAAAATAAAGGACAGCTATATACACAAGAACGACAATTCTAAAAACTCAAAAACACATAATGTAAGAGAATGGTCTCTCAAGTTTCTCCCACAGCTGACTTGAATGGCTCATTGCAGTGCACAGTGCACCGAACTTCGTGCACAAGGCCCTATCTCTGTTAACCCTGGATAATAAACTGGCATGTTGGATATCTACAGAATGCCCAGATAACCAGGAATACGTTTATAATACGGAGGCCGCCGTATGTTCAGGCAGGAAGTAGGTACAGGGAAGTTAAGCATACTTGCCACAAAGGGTCAGTGAGTACATTGGCTGGTGCCAGCGTGAGACAGTAGAGGGGACGCCAGCAAGGCGACCACCTGACCTCTGGGGTCAACCGGGGCGATGGAGAATAACAGCTGTGACATGGTCGTGACGTGTTCATGACGTCACCTCTCCTACTGATCAGGAAACGAGCAATATGATTGGTTCCCGCCCATTTGCTGCAAATGCTATTGGTCAAATTGTAACCTTTTGTGTTGTGTGCCACGAGATGCCCGGCAGCCCTTGCAGAGCATTCTCATGAGGAAGCTCTTGCATAGAAGACGTGTCCTGTTCTGTCTATCGGCCAATAGAGAGAAGAACACTGTCTATTCCTCACCGTCAAGTTAAATTTAGCATCTTTTCGATATACCAACACTCGCCCGGAATCGCGAATGTGAATATATTGTTCTGAAGCCTAAGTGACAAATCATCAGAACGAAACAGACTGATATCAGGTAACCCCTGGTGACAAATGGAGATCGTCTGTGAGTGACCTGGAGTGAACTAAGGCAGTGCCGCCGCCTAAGTAACCTGTGTGTGACTTTACCACATGTGTACCTGCATGGTACCACATAACCTGCAGTAGCCAGCCGTCACTCGGTCCAGAGCGTGTAGCTAGTACCTCTGTACCTCATGTAGCCTCGAGCCGCCCGCCGCCGCCCTCGCTGTACCACGTGACGCCACCACCCTTACTCACCGCCAGTGCCAAGTGTGTGTGCGTGTGTCTGTCTGTTAAGCATACAGCACGCCCTCCTGCGAGTACCCTCGTGTCAAATACGGTTTGTGGGAAGCCTGTCGTCAATGGTCTCACGTCAGAACGAGCGCCCCGCTGTCAGGCCACCTACGAGTTCTTGCATAAATGTTCCTGAGTGAGTGAGTGAATAAAGAGAGGTACCCTATCTGTAAGTACAAGATCTTGTCATTGTTTTATTGTGTCTGTGTTGATCTCAGGTATCAACCACAGTTCTCACCTTCTCATACCTGTCACAAGTTATAGGTGAATCGACGGTGTATGCGTGTTTATCTGTGTGGTATCACTGCATTTCACTCGTCTGTGAATGTGAGCTTCACATACACCACACATTTAGTTATTGTGTAACATTATTATTGTGCATGTTATTGCCTGTCCCATTGACAGTGCCATTGTGTTTATTGCATATCATCATTACCAGAGTATCCGGTTGGAACTCTTGTGATCCCTTTGCATACCGGCAGTTAGGTTGCTGTGTTAATGATTGGCTGTCAACTGTGTTAAGTTAGGTGTTTCGCCACGAGTGGATCCTAGTCGATTAGCCAGACGTCAAGAGTCTCGCTAGAGCAACCATGCCTTTCTGATGCCAATCTAAAGTAAATCAAGCACCCTTTGTATTAGTGATTAAGTTATCAAATAAACTACTGTTAAGCTTTATGAGGTGTTTCCGTCGAACCACTTCTGAATACTGCCAATATTACTCAAGCCTTCAGCTCTAGGTGTCTTCAATACCGAGTTGCCTATATTCACTAAACTATAAATGTGATGAGGACCCTAGGAGTCCCTTAAAGTGTTAAATCATTGAGGAGATTCCAACTATCAACGTGGAGCAGGACCAGGTAAGGCTAGTCTGAGAAGAGACCCTCAAGGACTCTAACTCGACCTTGCTCCCAGGACCTGTACGGTTGCTCTCGTATTTTCTATTCTGCTAATTCCGACAGTCTCGTGAAGCGTCTGCCACATGTACATTGGCGACGTACGCATTGCAGTCGTGAAAGCAAAAAAAGAAAACCCCCACATCTGGCGCCCAACGTGATTGGCTTAGTTGGAACCTATGAACTAGGTTGCACAGTAAAATTTCGCACTTAAATTTTCCCTGAAAATTCAAAAGTGACAAGCAGTATTCAGAGGACGTTTAACACCCTGTTAGGTACACACACCACCAGTATGTCTGAGTGTGGAGAGTACAAACAGCGCTACCTGCATCTTCACCTGGCCTTGACCGCTCGTAGACCTGACGACTACGACACTCTTACTGAGCAAGAGTGTAAGGAACGAGTGGAGCAGCACATGAGGGCCATGGAGGAGGTGATGCTACAAGCACACATGCAGGGTAGTACTGAGGTGGCGTGCATGAGTCTCATCACACTGGATGAGGCTATTGGGGGTGAGACCCCGGTGAGAGATAACACAGTGGGAGAGACCCCAGTGAGAGACAACTTGGGCAGTGACGTCACCCTGTGGGTGACGTCACTGAGAATGACGTCACTGGGTGACGTCACTGAGAATGATGTCACTAGAATCACGCGCACTGCGGAAGAAAACGGAGTCACGCGGGAATCTAGCCCTTTAAATACTTCGTTGGGGGGATTCTACGGGGAAGAATCTCGGCCCAAAAGGTCCTTGTGGACGACGCCAGCTCAAAGAGTAGGTATTACAGGCTCGCAATTATTCACCTTAGAGGAATACCGTAACCAGGTTAGGGAGTTGGGATTCGAAGGGAATAAAGTAGCAGAGCAAGCTATGAAACTCTGGACTGATCAGCAGGACAGAGAAAGCAAACTCTGGACTGAGCAGCAAGAGAGAGAAAACAAACGCTGGACTGATCAGCAGAACAGAGAGAGTATTGAACGCATAGCTCTAATGCAGTTACAAGCAAGGCAGGATGACCAGACAAGTGGTCGTTCAACAGAGACTAACGTTGAACTAGGTAAGACTGTCAAACTACCTAAACTAGCTAACTTTGATGAGAGGGACTGTTACGGCCCTCTCGGGTCGCAACTGGGTTCTTACTCTGATGTTGTTAGAGGAAGGGTATCCGGCCCCAAGCCAGTAGTGGCTTTCAAGGGATGTGATCCGTAACGCAAGTAAAATAAAAGGGGAAGGGAAATAAAGTCAAAACTTAATATAATATAATAACCGCCACCAATAAATAATATATAAAAGGTTACACAGGGGGAGGGGTATTAACACTAATTAACAAAGTAGTCTTCTCCTGAAGACCCTGGATCTTCTCGGTGCCAAGTTCTCGGTGCTCTCGTGGCCTCACGACGAATCCTTCGAAAAGCTGAGTCTACCCCGGCCACAGGCCAGCCAAAACACAGTTCCACTGGGGGCACCGCCGAGGAGGCCGTCAACCACAAGTCCAGCATGCAGCTGGCAGGTTCCGGATCAGCAACGCTGGTCAGGCCACTCCACGAGCGATACTAGGGTAGCGCCCTAGTCAGGAGCCTCGTGTGATACCACAGATCACTCTCCTGTCCACAATACCCCAGTGGTTAATCGTCTCCACCAGTCAGTCCCGGGTATGACAATCCTCAACTGCCGCTTTACAGGCAGTGTAACACCACAGTGTTCATCCGGGAGGCGACTCACAGCTGCTGCAGCAAAACACTTGGTGTCGAGACGGCTGCCTTGGGTAGACTGACTCAACTTCCCTTACAACAGTCCCAGGTCGACTCTGTAAGCAGACACGTCATCAGTAACAGGGACACACAAAAACACCTCACTTACAGGCTCAGACACAAACGCCCACCTATCCACTCCATAGATGGCGTTGTCGTCTGAGCACCACCTCACCAGAGGTCAGCAGCGGCTGTGTTGTGAGCTGAACAGGACTGGAAACTGGCCCTCGTAGCCAGTACGCCTCGTCCTCACCAGGTGTCGTCGTCCATTTGGAGGGGGTTTCGGGAGCTGACCCACAGATGGCGCGGTCGTCACTTCTCCGTGCTCGGACGTCGGGCTCGGGTCCGTAACAGGGACGACTCGATGGATGCATACATCAAGCGTTTCGAAGGTCATGCCGCTGATTGTGGGTGGGAAAGATCAAAGTGGGCACTTGCTCTTAGTGCATTTTTAAAAGGTAGGGCACTATAACTATCTACCACAGTCTGGGTCCGCACCAGCGCGGAGATTACGAGGCATTGACAACAGCGCTGCTGAACGGTTTTGGCATCATTGCAGACCGGATGGTAGAGAATTTCAGTAGGGCTCAATTGCAAAAAGGGGAGACATATGTGCTAATGTTACAGCGGTTAGAATCGAGTCTAAACCGTTACTGTGAACTCATGGAGACTGCTCCTGGGAGCATGGAGTTGTATCAACTGATGATTCGTGAACAGTTCTTAGAAGCATGCGAATCGTCTCTGCGTGTCAAGCTCAAAGAGCAAGAGATTGTGTCAAATCTGTCTATGGCCAAGCAAGCTGATCTGTGGGCTGGGGCCAGGAGACAGGTGAAAGGGGTGAAGCCGCACGAGAAACATCATGCTACAGGTACTGGCGAGGAAGCTAAGCCTAAGACTGGTGTGTCGGGGGAGCAGGGAAACTCCTCCAACAAGCATGTGCACAAGTGCTACACCTGTGGTAAGCCAGGTCATTGGACAGCTGATTGCAAGGTAAAACCGAAATCAGGTTACATAGCAGGTGTGAGCTCAAGTGGTAAGATACATCCCA